TGTCACTAGTCCCCCCTCCCTCACTCTGCCACTAGTCACCCCTTCCCTCACTCCCTCACTCTGTCACCTGTCACCCCCTCACTCTGTCACTAGTCACCCCTCACTCTAGTGACAGAGAGAGGGAGGGTGTGACTAGTGACAGTGAGTAAGGGTGTGACTAGTGACAGTAAGGGTGTGACTAGTGACAGAGAGAGGGAGGGTGTGACTAGTGACAGAGTGAGAGAGGGAAGGGGTGACTAGTGAGAGTGAGGGAGGTGGTGATTAGTGACAGAGGGAGGAATGGGGTGACTATCACTGTGTCACCCCCTTCCTCACTCTGTCACTAGTCACCCACTCCCTCCCTCACTCGGTCACTAGTCACCCCCTCTCTCACTCTGGTCACTAGTCACCCCCTCTCTCACTCTGTCACCAGTCATCCCTTCCTTCCCTCACTCTGCCACTAGTCATCCCTTCCCTCACTCTATCACCAGTCACCCCTTCCTTCCTTCACAGTGACAGAGTTAGGGAGGGAGTGACTAGTGACAGAGAGAGGGATGGGGTGACTAGTGACAGAGTGTGGAAGAGGGTGACTAGGGACAGAGGGGGTGATTAGTGACAGAGTGAGGGAGGGGGTGACAGTGACAGAGTTAGGGAGGGAATGACTAGTGACAGTCACTCCCTCCCTCTGTCACCAGTCATCCCCTCACTCTGTCACCAGTCACCCCTTCCCTCCCTCACTCTGCCACTAGTCACCCCCTCTCCCTCCCTATGTCACTAGTCACCCCCACTTACTGTGTCTCCCCCTCACTCTGCCACCACTCAACCCCTCCCTCCCTCACTCTGCCACCAGGTACCCCCTCACTCTGCCACCTGTCACAACCTCCCACACTCTTCCACCTGTCACCTTCTCCCTCACACACTGTCACCTGTCACATACGCATTCACACAGACACTATATACAAAAAAAGCACATGTAGTCATCCCGACATGCACAAGTGCATTCACACAGACTCAAATACAAACATGCATTGATACACAGGTCTTCACAATATACACATCCAAAGGAATGCTGTATTATGAGTTATATTTAACATTTATTTAATGCACATATATTTGGCCTTCAAAGGGCCTGGGATCTAATTTTGCCCGGGGGCCCCAAAGGCTCTCAGTCCGCCCCTGCATACACACAATGCCTCCACTACATAAACACAGACAATGCATTCACTGCACACACATAAACAGATAATGCATAAAATAATGTGATGTGTTTTGGTGAGGTGGTTGTGGGGTGGGGGGGGGGGGCACTTCATCCTTGGACCTAGGCAGCACAATGTCTTTGGCCGGCCCTGATGAGAAATTATGTGTGTACGTTTGTGGTTGTGTAAAATGTGTGTAGCAATATTTTTGAGCGCTGTGTTCCTAGAAGTGTGAGTGTGTGAGCATAGTGTGTGTGGCAGCACAGCTCTGTGTGTGGGATGCAGTGTGTATATGTGTACAGTGTGGGTATCAATTTGTGGAGTGTGTGTGTGTGTGTGTGTAGCAATGCAATCTACCATTTTTTTTTTTTTTTAGAAGTGTGAGTGTGTCAGTATGGGTGTGTGTACCTGTCATGACATGCGCATAGTCGTCTTTTTGGCCTACTCCTGTTATAAACCAATTATAACCTTTAATAATCACAGACACATGAATGAATTGGCAAAATATTCCACGGCTTTATTAAATATATATAAATAATAAAATATAAATTTAAAAGGTCATTGTCAACAACGCTTGAAAAGACGTCCCCCCAATTAACATAACTAAATACCCAGACAATGACCTCCAACATATTTACAGAATACATCCAACTAACAGTATAACATAGCATAAATACCATAAACCTTAACATAGCCACCCAGGGCCTCCATTTCCAATTGGCATACCAAGACACCCCTACGCCATTATCACAGCCACCAAGGGCATCCCTTTCCACTGTAGGGGCATACCAAGACACCCCTACACCATTATCCCAGCCACCAAGGGCATCCATTTCCAGTGTAGGGGCATACCGAGACACCCCTACACCCCCAGGTTCGTAGCTACCGCCGAGCTCGAACCTACCACCAAATCTAAAAGGTAAGTATTCCTCCTGACCTATCCCACTTACCAAAAACCGACCTACCCCCAATTAACCTAATCCATCCCCCGCCACAGCACAGAGCTTGACCACCTCAAGCCTCCTGTGCGCCCCCACCCCGAATAAACAGGGCCTGTCTAAGACCGTCCTGAAAGCCTAAGTTAAGGAAATCCAAACCCACCTCCGATAAATGAACTCCATCATGCCTGAAGTATCCTGGTAACATATCCTCTAGTTCCCTGTGCCTCACTACTACCCCTCCAGACCTTTTAATAAAAGTTGCCAACAACTTGTTGAACTTGCGTCTATATCTCGCCATAGCTGCGAAATCCCGCGCATGACGCCACCGGAAACGCGGTACCGTTTCCGACCAAACAATAACCACCCCGGGAAGCAAGGACCTCAACTTATCCACGTCCCTCTTTATCCCACGAACTAATTCCCTTTGCGGCACCAGACCAAAATCATTCCCCCCTGTGTGGAACAATATGAAATCGGGGACTTCCCCTTGCCCTATCTTCCGAAATAACTCCAAACACGTATCTCTCCAACCGAAACCCCGAAAACCAAACCAGAACAACCGTAACACATCAGAAGGAAAGCCGAGCTGCGTGCCTTCTCTCCGAACTGCAGCTCTCCGTTCTGCCCAGTAGACATATGAATGGCCTACTATCCATGCAACTCCACCTGAAATAAAAGAATAATTCATAACCACAGGACCACCGTAATTGTACCCCATAACATAAATTTGTTTACATTAAAAGATCAGGCCGGACATAGGAACGGAACCTGATCGATTCCCATCTCCCAATCTTTTTAACTAACTCATCCCCTAGGCCTAACCTCACCGCCTCTGTGGCAGCCCCGATCCTGAAGGAGTGGGTGCCAAATTGCGTGGGATCCAGGCCCAGGCGTTCCAAGCCCAACTTAAAGACCCTGTTGAACTGGAATTTCGACAACGCCGAGCCGTCCGCATGGCGAAAAAACGAACCCTGCCCCTTCGGACGGAGCTCCCCATATCGCCGAGCACTGCCCACCGGGCAAGCCTCCACCTGAGGTATTGAAAATAGTTTTATCATACGACCTCTCCCAAAGACATCCGTCTTCGAGCGCCGTAGTCGAATAGCTACCTGTTCCACCCCTACATCCACGTCCGCGAACTGGAGACCACCTTGTCTAAGCCTGTTGCTACTTACAATCTCACTCACCCGAAAAGCCCGAAAAACGCCCACACAAACGCCACCTTAAATAGCAAGACCTCGAACAAAGAGAAACATAAACCCGGTAGGGTACCCAATAGTTGTTGAAGCAACCTAAAAGACACCGGCCTCCTAGTGTCAGGTGATAACTTCCCTTTGCGGTAACCCTTCACTGCCTGCCGCACCATAAAAGATTTTGTCGAATCTTCCCACCCACGAAGCTTGAAGAGGAACGCCAATGCTGCCAGGTTCCGGCCGACCACTGCCGGAGAAGCCCCCGCTGCGAACAGCCTGCAAAGAAACCATAATAGCGTATCGAGACGTACCTTTGCGGATACCACGTCCCCCGTACAGCCTAATGCTTCGTCCCACCTTTCCCATACTTTACTATACGCCGCCAACGTGCCCGGAGCCAACGAATCCATTATCAGTCTTCCAAGCAGGAGGTCCCGAGACGCCACATGTGATCCGGACATGGCAGACCCTCCCTTTGTGCGTTCGGAGCCTCCACCCGAAATTTTTCCCACTGAAAGCGAGAAAGTGCATCAGCAATTACGTTCAAGAATCCAGGAACATGACGTGCACGAAAAACAATATTCAACTGCATGCAATACAAAACAAACTGGCGAAGCAGCCGCACTACTGGGACCGACGACGCCGAAAGATTGTTCACAGCCTCCACGACAGCCCCATTGTCCGTAAAGAAAACCACTCTCCTATCACGTAGGGCCTGGCCCCACAAGGAGAGCGCTACCACTAATGGGAACAATTCGAGAAAAGCCAAGTTCCGAATCTGTGGGCTGACCGCCCAATGTTCGGGCCATCTTTCGGCACACCAATGACCCGCAAAGTAAGCCCCGAAGCATCGGTAAAAAGCTCTAACTCGGGTGATTCGATACACTGCTCCCTAAAAAAGACTCGCCCATTGAAATCCCTCAGGAAGGCCTCCCACACACCCAAATCCTCCTTCATCGGAGCGGTGACCCTGATAAAATGATGAGGTGACCGCACACCCGCCGTGGCTTTGGCGAGGAACCGGTTGAATACCCTTCCTACCGGGATAATGCGACATGCAAAATTCAACCGCCCCAGCAAAGACTGTATAGCCCGCAGTGTCGCCTTCTTTGCCCTACGCAACTCTGAAACGGCATCGCGGAGAGACTCCAACTTATCTTGTGGTAATCTGCATTCCCCCGCGACCGTATCTATTTCAAGCCCCAAAAAACTCAGGCATGTAGTAGGCCCCACGGTTTTGTCGCGAGCCAGAGGTACCCCAAATACCTGACTGACCCATTCGAGACACCGTAGCCTAAAGCGGCAAGCGTCAGAGCCAGCCGGCCCGACACACAAGAAATCGTCCAGGTAATGGACCACAAACTTGGTGCCCGCTTCCTCCCTCACTACCCATTCCATGAACGTGCTAAATTTCTCAAAGTACGCACATGAAATGGAGCATCCCATGGGCAAACACAGATCCACAAAATAGTTTCCATCAAGATAACAACCTAATAAGTGGTGACACTTTGGGTGAATGGGCAAAAGGCGGAAAGCCGCTTCTATATCCGCCTTAGCCAACAACGCTCCCTGTCCTGCTTCCTTTACCAGCTCGACCGCTTGGTCGAATGATGCATAGGAAACCGAACAGAGATCCCCGTCAATGTCATCATTGACTGATGACCCCTTCGGGTATGACAAATGGTGGATAAGGCGAAATTTACCCGCCTCCTTCTTTGGCACTACGCCTAAAGGGGAAACCCTAAGATCCGGCAGCGGTGGTTCCCTAAACGGTCCCGCCGTTCGCCCACTGAGCGCAAATTACGGAAACGGGGAACCACAACCCGATCCCTGAAGGGAATGATGAAACCCCTAGTAAATCCCTCAAACAATAGACGGGCATCCTCCAGCTTACCGTAGCTGTTTAGCCAAGGGAGCATCGCGTCTACCCTCACCGGAGACCGCCCCAGAGGCAGCGGATGGTGCTGCAGCGCCTCCGGCCGCGCCTGTTGTAGTGGGCTTGCCCTTCTTAAAACACCGGTTGTAACCATGTCCCCCCCCACCGCATCCAGAGCATTCATGCCTAAAGCGGCATGCGGAGTCCCACTTACATTGGCCCTCATTATAGAGCCAGCAACACCCCTTCCTTTGCGCAGCCGACGAGGTGGAAGAGGAACCGATGCCAGCCCCCCCTTGAAAGGGAGCCGCCTTTTGAGCCATCATTAGCTTCATCCATAATGGCAGGTCCATCTGGTCCCACCTCATTCCCGGCTTAGCCGAAAGCCTCTGACGGAACTGTTCATCGTACCGCCACCATGCTAGGCCCCCGTATGTGCGGTAAGCCTCCCACACCCCGTCTAAGTAACAGAAGAATTGCGAGCATTTCTCTGGGGCCTTTTCCCCCAGTACACTCGCCAGTATGCAAAAGGCCCGCAGCCAGTTCCCGAAAGTTTTCGGGATTTTCCTATAACGA